TGCATAATTATTTACATGTGAATATGCAGAAGCGGGAGGTGGAAGACTAGTGGCGAGCATTGTAAATTTGTGCCGATTGAAGGCAGTACTAATTGAGAAAAGTTATTTTGTGAGAAGAGGTAAATATCTATCTGAAATACATTGTCAGTTTAGGAAAATGTCAAATTCCAAGCAGTTTATGACTTCAAAACTGATACCTCTGACATTTGAACAGAGTATAGAATGACTGGTGTGAACATTTTTGAAGAAAAAGCAGTGTATTCACTGAAATTGCATTAGATTAATTGATGATCAGAAGCCAATTTTAAGCAAAATAATTCCTCCTACTATCTCTACAAAAGTAACTATATATATCTGAAAGTGCTTCTTTCTTTCAGGATTTTTCTACATCATTTGATTTGTCATAAAAGAAGTTGTATTCTAACAAACTTGAGGAGAATATAAAAAATTCAAGTTCAACTGACTGAAAGCAGTTTAACAAATGCTTTCTGGTGAAGTTTAGAGATCACTGGTTTGCTTTTATTATTTTATCATCTTAAGTTAACCTGCTCATTAGAAGAACTAGTATAATAACAAGCTAGTCTCTTTCATACTGGAACATGTACAGTGACCACAGCATCAGTAGAAAAACTCTGTATTAGTAAATGTTAACAAGAACTAGCAAGTGAAAGTAAAGAAGTGTGTAATAATATGTCATCCATGCTATATCTGCTATATGTATTGCCAACAAGGCTTTATGGTCAATACTGGGGCTCTTTAGGCTAGCTGGGATATGAACGATATAGTAGTGGTTGAGACACTATTTATGTTAGCAAATTTCTTGGCCACAGTTTTTACTTTGTAGCAGGGTTTGCACTGCTGCTTGAAAACCTTGAAAAGAGCTTGAAAATGAAAAGCCATTTCAAGGGCCATTAAAAGTTGTGTTTGGGTCTTGAAAAGACTATTTTGGAGGCAAGTGCTTGAAATTTGTATTCAGTCAAAATTTCTGGTTTTAATCTTTATTATATATCTATATAAAATTGTATTTAAGCAATCAAATAATACTTTTAGTCAAAATAAACCGGACGACCATCTTTAGGTCTACTTGTAATCAAATTCTTGTATTCTGGTTTGATGTACCATTTTGCATTTTAGTGTGATTAGACACGTACATTCCCATGGTGCTAAACAACAATGCTGGAGAAGTATGTAGTGTGTAAGCATGTCTGAAGTTGAAGATGAGAAAATGCATTGTCAGCAATGCTTGGATAGTAAACAGCACCTACTGTTAGTGGTGTGAGTGCTTTGTACCAAATGAAAACAAGGCCTTTTTTAAGGTCTGTAGGAAAGTGATTGACATTGAAGGGATGAGCAAAAGTGCCCTCAAAGTCATGAGAAAGGTGGAAAACATTGCAAAAATCTAGAGATAAAGACTAAATCTAATGATTTAATGATGCAAGACTTTTTCGAAGGGACTGATTATCTGTGAAATGTAGGACACGATTGGAGTCCAAAAAAGACAAAATATTATGACAACTTATGGCATTGGATCTAGGCCAAGTTGCAGTTGTTTCTGACCAGGAATCCTGCCAATCAAGGCCTAACAATGATAACGTTAGACCTAACTTTCCAGTCTTTAAATCTAGTCAACATGGTCGAACCTCTATTGTATTAAAGAAAGTGGCAGATTAAACATTTCTTGCTGAAATCTTAGACTTTGCACAGTGCCAACAGACATTTTTCTTACAAGACACAACAGGAAAACATGATAGTTCAATAACTCAAAACTACAGTTGTGCTGAAACAAAATCAAGATACATAACAACCTATGGTTTGGCACCTCATTTTCTTTCATTGCTGAAGGAGAAGATAAAACATAAATAGTATGTATTACTCTTTGATGAGAGCTTAAATAAGAACTAGTTTATACAACTGGACATTCACTTAAGGTTTTGTAAGAAATCAGAAAACTGTGTGTGTACAAGATATTTCACCAGTGATTTTACTGGTCATTCAGCATCAACAAACATCTTAGATTCTTTGATAAAAAAGTATTGAGACACATTTGGGGATATCATTCAGCTGTCAGTGGATGATCCAAGTGTCAACTGGAAACTTTACAACATGCTACATTAGAAAATTGCAGATATATTACAAGTGCAAATTCAAACAGGTAAGAGTGTTTCAGTAGGCCTAATAATAAATAAGAAAGTAATTAGATAATTTCCTATTTACTCTGTATAGGTTTTAAGATTTAAGGGTAAGCATATTTTACATATAATTTTTTATTGTTTGAATGGTGTAAAATACAATTTCAGATATTTCACCTATTTTTTTAATAGACTGATTTATAGAAAGTCTAATATGAATATGGGAAATTCATATTACTGGTGAGTAAAAATTTGAAATTCTCAAAATATGAAAGTATGATACGGGGATTTTAATTTTTATATCTTGTTCAAAGAAATCTATGTATTATAACTAAAGTGACCACTTTTGATTATATCATTTATATTTATGTATATATATATATATACACACTAGTTTATCTACATTGTTGTTATTTCAGGTTCTTATGGATTACACATTATTCATGGGGGCATTTATGCTCAGCTCAGCAGAAATGGGCTGGAGAGTAGAAGATTTGAGTAGCATGTACCATCTACTCCATGATGCACCACCTAGAAAGGCTGATTACGTACAAGTGACAGGAAGCTCAGAGCTAGCCTACAATTACTGCAAGCATAGGTATGTTTCATGTTATAATAATTTAAATAGACTGGGATTTGGAAGGCCTCTTGAAATATTAACTTTTACATTAATTATAGTTTGTTTTTTTTAGTTTATTTGTCACAATTTATCATAAAAGTTTGAGCAGTTTTTATAGTGAAGTGAGCTTTATGGAAAAAGTTTTAAGTTCAAACAGTTACAGAACTATAATAAAACAGTACATTCTGTTTAAAGGCAGATTCCAACTAAATATATATGTGTGTGTATGTATAGTAATAATATTAAAGAAAGACTGATATTATATGCATTTTTTCTAGATTGCTGTCTTGTTTTATTTATATAGATGGCTTGAAAATGTTCCAGCAATTTGCCAAGCCTTGTCACTACTGAATCTGTATGAGAAGTACATCTAAGCTGTCCAAAAGAAGAAAGTAACTGATCCAAAAAACAAGTCTTTTAAAATTGTAAAAGAATCGCTGAAGGATGAGACTATTAAGGCAAAATTGAATTTCCTGCAAGAATTTCTACATAAATATCAAACTGATGACCCAGTGATTCCCTTCCTTGTGATTGATTTGACAAATGTGTTGATGGACCTAATGAAAAGGTTTGTCAAAGTTGATCTGTTAAAAGGCAAGAGACTGAATGCCAATCGTATAATGAACTTCGACTTGGATGACAATAGTGTGTTGAAATCCTACAAAAATGTGGACATTGGAATAATTATTGAAAATATGATTTGTCTACTTCACAGAAAGAAGAACATTAGTGACAGAAATATTTTGGAATTCTGTATGGATTGTAGGAAAATGTTTGTGAAAGTTGTAAAAAAAATTGCAAGATAAATGCCCACTGAAGTATAGAATTGTGAGGAATATGGACTGTTTGTATCCAAGAAAGATGGCAAGTGATGCAGACACAGTTAAGAAGTATTTTAAGAGGGTTGTGAAAATACTGCTCGAACCAGGTAGGGTGCAAGGACAAGATTGTGGCAAGATCTTTTGGCAATACCAAGATTTCCTGCAGACTGTGGTGAAGGAAAACCACTTTTCGTTCAAGGAGTGTAAACCAGCTGTGAGGCAAGACAGTTTCCTCTACGTACAGCTTGTGGCAAGTGGTTATTCTGACTGCTGGTCAGTCATGAATAAATTGTAGTATTTGTCACATGGCCAAGCTTCTGTGGAGTTAGTCTTATCGATTAACAAGTAAACGATAGATGATAATCTCTCCACCGTAGGACTTGTTGTACAACTTGTTGTGGTGGACCACATCAAGACTATTGAAAGTGTTTTGAATGTGAAGATTAACAAGTCTCTGAAACTCTCTTGTAAGTCAGCAAAGCAGAAATATGATGTCTACTTGGCAGAAAAACAAAAAGGAGAACCAGAAAAAGTGAGGAAATGGAAAAGGGAAGAAGAAAGGGGGAATTCTGAAGAAAAAAAATGGAGGATGAAATGGCAAAACTAGAAAAAAAATTTTCAAGAACTAGAACAATGAATTGTGAAAAAGAGATGATTTAATTGATATAATAAAATTGCCAAAATGTTTTGGGAAATTTTGTATTTTAATACGGTTCAATGTTGCATAGTACTTTATTTGAAAAATTAAATGTTTATATCTGATTATGGTCTATCTTATCTGTCAAGTGAGTCTCTCAGTGGTTCAATGTAAAGGTAATCCTGACTGAATGTATATGTCTTTTAATTAATTAATAGCAGTTTCTTTGAGCAAGGGTGCTCAAAATTAAGATTTTAGGCTATGAAAAAGTTCTTGGAAAGTACTTGAAAGTTTTCATTGATGTCCAATGTGAACCCGGTGTAAACTGAGTTAAGTTAGTGAAGTATAATTTTTCATCAGTTTTATTTTATGCCACAACGAAGTAGAATTAAGATAAGAATTTTTTAAAACTATGTTATTTGTTATCGTATGTTATTATTATTTTATTATTTTCTTGAATTAACTTACTAATTATTCGGAATTGCTAGCAAACCAGCACGCTAGTTTTCTTGGTTCTGGATCAGATCTAGTGACCTCGGAGTCAACTGGAGAAGACTACATTAGTTATTAATAAGACCTTCTTAGTGAAATTAAAAAAAAGAGTGTATAATTATAATATGTTAACCACCCTATGTCTGGTATATCCAGTGCCAACAAGGCCTTTCACCCAATATCAGGGCTTTTCAGTCTGGCTGAAATACAACAGATACAGTAGCTATAATAGAAAAAGTGTCTAAAAGTATTTATTTTGAAGAAAAAAGTATTGTAAATTTGGATTTTATTTTGTTATTCAGGATCAGGTATGACAGTTCCAAACTGGGATTTTGTTGGAAGTACTATGGTGACAAGTAATTACATCAGACTTACTGCCGATGAACAGAGTAGGATTGGGGCCATTTGGAATAAAGTGGTAATAAGTCTTTTAAAGCTATTTATTAATATTTGCTTTAGTTTAAAGTCACATAAGACATTATATGCATATTTTAATGATACTGTGCATGTCTTTTAATCATTGCTGCTTTGAAGGACTTTTTATACATATAATAACAAAAGGATTTTGTTTTTAAATAATTTTTCTTGGAGTTATTTTAAACTTTCCTTGCTCTCACTTTCTATGAAAACTTCTGTGGATCCCTATTTATCAACTCTTTCAATACGGCCTCGGGCAGTTTGAATGACCACGTGACCTTTTTGTACTTATTTAAAGTCTTTATAGATTTAATACTTATAACTTCACAAAATTTGGCAGTCTTTCAGTTGATATTACAAGCCTTTCACATACAAAAAGTCATATTTCTTAGTGAAGTACTTTTAATGAAATAAAATAAATAATTATCTATGAATATACTGAGTATTTGTTTTGAATAGTTCATACGCAAAGTAATTATATGTTAAAATAAAAAATACTTTTCCTCGTATCAAAAATCTCAAATTTTTTTTTGTGTAATCCCTAAAACCTCCTAAGTGGATTTCAAACGTTTTTTTTTTTCAGTAAAACTTTATAGTTTATATGTTATTTACTCTACTGGATCGGTCAATTCAGTCGACCTCGTAAGCACCAAAAAAATCGAAATAAACCTTCTTTTCTTTCTAGTATGACTTCAGGTTGTAACATGAAACTATATTCGTTTATCCTAAGTAGCTCTAAGTTTCTAACAGTATACATCCATTTATAATTCCACTCCATAAAAAGTTGTAACTCACTTAGAGAACGTGCAGCTCATGTTACGCTCTTCGAGCCTTGTGAACCATTTTACTTATTATTATTATTATTACTTATTTTACCTAATCTAGTCTTAAGTAACTTTAAAAGATCCATATTTTTAGATAAAGAATAAATATGAAAAACAAGAAATAAAATGCTTAACTAATCTTCTCTTTTCTTGCAGTCGGGTTTCAAAGAGAGTTAACTCTAACCTTTTGTAATACTAATAGTAATGCATTTAATAATTTTCATTTAATTAAATAATGCATCAAAGAACATAGACTAATAATTTGCAAAAAGTAGACAAATTCCTCTAACTCTCAAAATTTTTCTGGTTTTCTAACTATGCACCAAGAGCCGTTACAAATTCACCCAAGCTAGCCATTAACTTTCCCACGGGATGAATCTTGTACTGTCAGTGAAATTGACGATATTCTGTTCAGAACACAACAATATAGAATATGTCATTTAATAGATGAAAAGCTTGACTTTCTATTGGTTATAGATAATATATAATTAAACGTGAGAGATAACTATCAACGAATTGTGAAAGAGAGGATGTGATAGATGGGTGTAGCAGGAGGGGTCTGATTTTCTAATCAATAGCTCTGTAAACAAACAAAATTGACGATTATAAAAATTATGGTTTGTCTGAGTAATAACAATTTTATAGAGTATTTTACGTTTAATTTCATACATTTTCAAGGGGTGATGGATAAAATAGGGATGATGATATGCTAAGAGAAAATATGTCATGTGGGTCACACTTGTGGAAATTCAGGATTTTTTAAAATATTCCTTTGAAGAATTAAGAACTTAAAACTTATATACTATTAAAATATGGATTATTAGCTAAGATTTTATGTTATTCTAACTGGTATAACATAAACTAAAAGTAGTATGATATAATTTTGAACGTAAGACACTAAAACCTTGTGTCATCCCCAGTAAAGAATACCTGTGGTGGTAAGGTTAAAGCCCATAAAAAGTCTTAAAATTAGTTGTTTCTTGTTTCAGAATTTTAATGTCAGAAAGATTTAAGGATGACAGCTAGAAAAAGTGGGGTATAACAAATGTTAAATAAAATAATAAAACGAAGATTAACGTTTTTTTACTTGCACAAACATTTATTTGTAAAGTTAAAAAATTAAAAATATACAAGTTAAAAGAAACTTAAAACTCTACATGTTTCGGTGTAAATAATTACAACATGTTCAGGAGAATCCATCAAGAAGTACACATAACATTGCTTACATGTGTAATTAGCATAAAAGTACAGTGCACCATTTACAACAGTAATTTCCAAAAATTTATTTCGGTGGCTCCTGGGCCTAAATCTCTATTTAAATTAATTTTGTTTTTAACAATTTTTAAAGATTCTCTTATATTTAATTCATCTTTATCCGTTAACTGTTTAATAATTTTGATTGTCCCAATCAGTGTTTAAAATTTGCTACATGTTCCGCGGCCCGGCATGGCCAGGTGGTTTGGGCGCTTGACTCGCAATCTGAGGGTCTCGGATTCGAATCCCAGTCACAGCAAACATGCTCGCCCTTTCAACTGTGGGGGCGTTATAATGTGATGGTCAATCCCACTATTCGTTGGTAAAAGAGTAGCCCAAGAGTTGGTGGTGGGTGGTGATGACTAGCTG